CCCCCATTCCCCCTGTCCTGACAACAGTTTTATTTTTCTACCAACCCGCATAGTCATTTTCTTAATTACCATATAAATGTAAAGGCCTGACGAGAATAATCGAAAACAAACGTATATTCGCCATTTCATCTTCAGAAAATAAAGTATTACTAATCATTATGTTTTCGTGCCCTTTTGTTAATGTTTGCAGCCGATTTGGAGCTGAAATGTCGGTAAACTTCGGCTCATGGATGGCCTACGGAATGCCCATGTCTCTACTCTGCTTGATTGCTACGTGGATTGTTATATGCCTAATATTCCTCGGACCCAAGTAAGTGTACCAATCGGTCACAGACCGTTGAACCATCTTTAGTCTAGGAGCATGTGTAACTACCCAAGTCTAATTCCCGTCTGTCTTGGTAAAGGGCTTTCTTCAAATGCGGCCGAGGGAAGAAGAAGGACACGCCGGAGGAACCCCCTACAGAATTCATTAGTTTACCGACCACGTCCAAGAGCACAGATAAGCTGCAGGAGCTTGAAGCCAACTGCGAGCAAGAAGAAGACGAAGGCGATGATGATGAAATTCCTTTGGATATAGTTGTAATCGTTAAAAAGATTGCTGCAGAAGAACGCCGAGTTCTAGGTCCTATGAAGTAAGTTTTTTTTTTGAAACATTTGATCAGCGGTCAGACGGCTAATTTGTCTGGCTCCTACTTAAAGTGGAGAGTAGGGTTTTATATATGAACTCATCACCACAGTAGTTCATGTGGATAATGGCGAGTTTGCGCTACGCATGCCGAATAGTAGAGTCTGCGGGAAGTTTCGACTTTGTGTTACGGGTGAAGTAAGTGTAGGGTTTTGATAAATATTACAGTTACGGCCAAGGCTGGGCTAGACAATATCCCCTCAGCCTGAAATTTAACGTAAGACTGCTTGTGTTTTACGTGGAAGGTTCCCCTATACCCTGTCAAGTCGTGGGATGCTGTAGAGGTACAGAAACAATTCCGACCAATAGAACTGCATGTAGACTAAATAGAGGTTCGCTTTTCAGGCGGTATAATGTTACTGAACATGAACGTAGGAAATTTTACTGTTAAGACGGCCCCGAGTATGACACAGCCTTCTTGTCGTCTGATTCTTCCGCGCGACAGAGAACCGCCTTCCCGCGGCTCGGTCAGAGCGTAACTTAGCAATAAACGTACCGTGGAGCCCTGCGTGACACTCAGGGGGCTGATATTTTTAAAGCGGTGACTCCAGTGCTGTCACCGTCTAATTACGCCCGTTGGAATCCCCAAGGAAGAACACAATAGGAAAGGCATAACTTTGGAATCCACACGGAGGAGGGTTTATTGTGTATAAAACCTGGAGTTGCTTTCTCCGTTCGTAGTTGCCATTGGTTGGTCTCCAGCGCACTGATGTGTCCCGCATCTGGGCAACCCCAGCAGTGGGGAGCGGACTGGTGGTGTCCTCGCAGTCCGTGTGCAACTCACTGTCTGAGAGGTGACAGTGGCTTAT